ATATAGGAATCCTTTTCTATCATGTTATTGTCCACTTTTCCTATGCCACCCCCGCCTTCGCCTTCTTTTGAATTGATTAAGGTGTTCTGTTTTTTAATTCTTTTTCTCCTGTCTACTGGTTTGGTAGTTATATTACTTTTATAGTGATTACCCTTGAAATTTTACTGTGCATGCTTGGCTTTTTACAAAGTCTAAAATTAATCAATATCTTTAGCCTCCTCTTTTTCCAAAATAAAAGAAAAAGTAACGTAAAACATAATGGAGCACCACCAGCCTGAGACCACTTTAATTTCTCATTTTAGATTTCCCAGCCAGACTGGTGATATCAATTTAAAACCTAGACCTAGCCTATGGCTCCAAATTCTTGGGAGACTATTTTTCCCCCCCAACAAGAAGCCGCAAGGGAAACAGATTTCTGCATCAGTTCCCCTGCCAGCAGGCAGATATTTTCAGTTCCGCCCTTTCATACTAAGAATATAATCCCTTGGAGGGTCTCAGATTTAGTGGGTGGAGGTGGGGGAGTTCTTCTTTTCAGCTGTTTCCTTTTTGTGGGCCCAAGACCCCGTTTCTTCCCTCTCTCCCTGGCTATTTATCTCAAAGCTTCAAGTTCCTGCCATCTACATTTGCCCCAGGTCAGCCCTAATGTCTTCATTTGCTCACCACTTGGGTTTCTGCTTTATTCATTTCATTTAGTGCTTGAGGGTTTCTCTCACTTTTCTGTAAACTCACCAAGGCAATCTGAAAGGTACGTTTGCTGAGGTTTGTCTAGCATCTAGACGTTTTGCAGGAGGGCTTTTCAGAATATCTAGTCTGTCTTTCTAAATCAGACTAAATCTTTTCATCTATTGTTTATTTCTGCATAGAATTGTATACCATCTATAGATTTTTATGTTTTGTTTCAATTTGTCCTGGAATTTTTTTTTAAATTTTATTGTGCTTTAAGTGAAAGTTTACAGTGCAAATTAGTTTCTTGTTCAAAAATTTATACACAAATTGTTTTCTGACATTGGTTGCAATCCCTGCATTGTGTCAACACTCTCCTCCTTTCCCTTAACACCCCGGGTTCCGCACGTCCATTCGTCCAGTTTTCCTGTCCCTTCCTGCCTTCTCATCTTTGCTTTTGGGCAGGAGTTGCTTGATTGAACTAAGAAGCATGTTCCTCATGCAGGTCATTGTTTGTTTTATAGGCCTGTCTAATCTTTGGCTGAAAGGTGGACTTTGGGAGTGGCTTCAGTTCTGAGTTAGCAGGGCGTCCAGGGCCTTGGTCTCGGGTTCCTCTGTTCTCTGTTAGATCAGTAAGTCTGGTCTTTTCTGCGTGAATTTGAATTTTCTACATTTTTCTCCCGCTCTATCTAGGACCCTCTATTGTGATCGCTGTCAGAGCCATTGGTGGTGGTAGCCCGGCACCATTTAGTTCTGGGCTCTGGCTGGTGGAAGCTGTGGTTCATGTGGTCCTTTGGTCCTTTGTACTAATATTTTCCTTGTGTCTTTGGTTTTCTTCATTCTCCTTTGCGCCGGATGGGACTGGACCAATATATCTATCTTAGATGGCTGCTCGCAAGCTTTTAAGACCCCAGATGCTACTCACCAAAGTAGGGTGTAGGACATTTTCTTTATGAAGTACGTTATGCCAATTGACCTAGATGTTCATGGTCTCCAGCCCTCAGCCCCAATAACCAGGTCCCTCAAGGTATTTGGATGTGTCTAAGAAGCTTCTCTGACTTTGCCTTGGTCACGTTGTGCTAACATCCCCTATATTGTGTGTTGTCTTTCCCTTCACCAAAGTTAACACTTGTCTACTATCTAGTTAGATTTTTCCTCCCCATCCCTCCCCTCCCTCATAATCATCAAAGAACTTTTTTTTTTTTCTGTCTATAAATCTTTTCTTGGGTTTTTATAATAGTGATCTCATAATATTTGTCCTTTTGTGATTAACTTCCTTCACTCAGCATAATACCCTCCAGATTCATCCATGTTGTGAGATCCTTCCCAGATTCATCATTGTCCTTTATCATTGCATGGTATTCCATTGTGTGTATGTACCATAATTTGTTTATCCATTCATGGGCACTTAGGTTGTTTCCATCTTTTTGCTATTGTGAATAACACTGCAATGAACATAGGTGTGCATGTCTATTCACGTGATGGCTCTTATTTCTCTAGGATATATTCCTAGGAGTGGAATTGCTGGACTGTATGATATTTCTATTTCTAGCTTTTTAAGGAGGCACCATATCATTTTCCATAATGGTTGTACCATTTTACATTCTCATCAGCAGTGCAGTGCATAAGAGTTTCAATCTCCCTGAAACCTCTCCAACATTTGTTATTATCTGTCTTTTTTCTTTTTTCATCAGTGCCAGTAATGTTGGGGTGAGATGGTATCTCATTATAGTTTTGATTTGTATTTCTCTAACGGCTAGTGAGCACGAGCATTTACTCATGTGCCTGTTAGCTGCCTGAATGTCTTCTTTGGTGAAGTGTCTACTCATATCCTTTGCCCATTTTTTAATTGGATTATTTGTCTTTTTGTTGTTGAGGTGTTGAAGTATTCTATAGATTTTAGAGATTAGACTCTTGTCAGGTATGTCGTAGCCAAAATTTTTTTCCCAGTCTGTAGGTTCTCTTTTCACTCTTCTGCTGAAGTCTTTTGATGAGCATAAGTGTTTAACTTTTGGGAGCTGCCATTTATCTAGTTTATCTTCTGGTGTTTGCACATTGTTAGTTATGGTTTGTATTCTATTTATGCCATGTATTAGGGCCCCTAGCATTGTTGCTATTTTTTCTTTCATGATCTTTATCATTTTAGATTTTATATATAGATCTTTGATCCATTTTGAGTTAGGTATTGTATATGGTGTGAGGTATGGGTCTTGTTTCATTTTTTTACAGGTGGACATCCAGTTTTGCCAGCACCATTTGTTAAAAAGACTGTCTTTTCCTCATGTGGAGCCCTGGTGGCACAGTAGCTAAGAGCTTGGCTGCTAACCAAAAGGTCATTAGTTCAAATACACTAGCCACTCCTTGGGAACTTTATGGGGGCAATTCTACTCTGTCCTATAGGGTCGTTATCAGTTGGAATCGACTCAACAGCAACAGGTTTGGTTTTTGGTTTTTCTTCCCCATTTAATGGACGTTGGTCCTTTGTTAAAGATCAGCTGACCACAGGTGAATGGATTTACGTCTGGGTTCTCGATTCTGTTCCATTGGTCTATGTGTCTGTCGTTATACCAGTACCAGGCTGTTTTGACTACCGTGGCTGTACAGTAGGTTCTGAGATCAGGTAGTGTGAGGCCGCCTACTTTGTTCTTTTTCTTCAATAATGCTTTACTTATCTGGGGCCTCTTTCCTTTCCATATAAAGTTGGTGATTAGTTTTTCTGTCTCATTAAAGAATGCTGTTGGTATTTGGATTGGGATTGCATGATATCTGTGAATTGCTTTGAGTCGACATTTTCACAATATTGAGTCTTCCCATCTATGAGCATGGTATGTTTTTCCATCTGAGTAGGTCTCTTTTGGTTTCTTGCGGTAGTGTTTTGTAGTTTTCTTTGTATAGGTCTTTTACACCCCTAGTTACATTTACTCCTAAGTATTTTATCTTCTTAGAGGTTCTTATAAATGGTATTTTCCTGATTTCCTTTTCAAAGTTCTCTTTGTTGGTGTATAGGAATCCAACTGATTTTTGTATAGTGATCTTGTATCCTGCTACTCTGCAGAATCTTTCTATTAGTTCCAGTAGTTTTCTTGTGAAATCTTTGAGGTTCTCTATGTATAGGATCATATCAAATAAGGATAGTTTTAGTTCTTCCTTTCTAATTTGGATACCCTTTATTTCTTTTTCTTGCTTTACTGCTATACCTAGGACTTCCAGCACAATGCTAAATAGGAGTGGTGATAAAGGGCATTCTCAGGGGGAATGCTTTCAGCCTCTCTCCATTAAGAATGATGTTGGCTGCTGGTTTTGTATATATGCCCTTTATTATGCTAAGGAATTTCCCTTCTATTCCTATTTTATTGAGAGTTTTTATCAGGAATAGGTGTTGGACTTCATCAAATGCCTTTTCTGTGTTGACTGAAATGATATATGATGCTTTTCTTTTGTTCTATTTATGTGGTAGATTATGTTGATATTGGTACAACATTTCTACCTGGTATGAATCCCCCACTTGGTCGTGGTGTATTATTTATTTATTTATTCTTGATGTGATGCTGAATTCTATTGGCTAGAATTTTGTTGAGGATTTTTGCATCTACATTCATGAGTGATACTCGTCTGTAATTTTCTTTATGATGGCTTTTCCTGGCTTCAGGAGGATTCCTTCCTTTTCTATGCTCTGAAATAGTTTGAGTAGTACTGGTGTGAGCTCTTCTGAATGTTTGGTAGAATTCTCCAGTGAAGCCATCTGGGCTAGGGCTTTATTTTTGTTTTCTTATTACCTCTTCTATCTCTTTTCTTGTTATGGCTCTGTCCTGGAACTTTTTGTGTGAAGGTGTACAGTTTTTTCTCTTTAAGATTAGAGTAGATAAGTAAATACAGGTATAAAGACAGATGTTCATCAAAAGGCTGTTTCTAATTATTTTTAATTGGAAATAACCTTAATGTCAAATACTAGAAAATTCAGAGTAAATTTTACTACAGCTCTTATCCAGCCAGTAAGAATTGTGTGACATGGGAAAGATGCTCATGATACACTGTTGAGTAAATAAGCTGTTTGGTATGACATCTTTTTGTTTATACAGACACATATATATTGATATTGAAAAAGTTCTGGAAGGATACATTTAATATTTTTGGTGATGTTGGGGGAGATTTTTACTTCTTGTTGACCTCTACTTTTTGAATGAAGAAGCACTGTGTGATTTTTGTGTCCAGGAGAGAATTGTTTACAACAACAAAAAGTGGGGATTATTGAGCTGCTTTCTAACCTTGGAGTTGCATAACAGTAGAATACATCACTTGTGGGATTGTAAACTCCCCAATACCGAGAATGTCAAACAGAGGCTGGGTGACCTCCTGACCAGGATTCCTGTCATCTTGTGATTCAAAGATTCCCATTTATTTATTTATTTTTCCTGCCAATAGGTCAATGCCTCAGACCGATAAGCAAATATGCATCCCGCCAGAGCTGCCGGAATTGCTGAAGCAGTTCACCAAAGCCGCCATCCGGACCCAGCCACAAGATCTCATCCAATGGGCTGCTGAGTGCGTCTTCCTTTCCTCCTCCAACTCCCTTGTCACCTCCCGCCCCTCTTTCCCACACTGGGGGGAGGGAAGGTCATGGAAAACTGAGGAGGTTGTCATGGCTGCAGCCAGGAGTACAGACTGATTAGCATAATCTTTTGTGATTTTCAGTTCTAGCATTGCTTCGGTTCTTCAAAATCCACACATGAAAACATCACAACGGGCAAGGATGGGATGCCCTCCCCTGAGCAAGCCAGACTTAGCAACATGAAACCAGGGCAATGGGAAAAGTGTCCTGGGGCAAACAGCAAGAACTAGAGCAACACATCACAGCAGTACACGCATACTCCCCCCCACCCCTGCACCCCCTCAGTCTGTCCCAGTGGAAAGAAGGGTTCAGAATCCCCCTGGTTTAAACAAGGACCTCGTTCTCTTGTCTCACCAATAGATGGCAGCAGTGCACCTGGGGGAGCCCTGTGAGGAGCCTGCTGGGTGTGGGTGTGGGTGTGGGATGGGTCCAACCTGGTTCACTCCTGGATTTACTCCTTTAACGAGATACCTTCCTCCAGTGCTGTTAAAACTCATACTTTTTATCCAATCAAAGACACTACCTGTGGCGAAATTATTGCTACTTTCTTTAGTAACACGGATTAGTTCTCTAAACATAAAGATGTACGTTCAGTACACATCCCATTCTGGAAAAAGGAGGTAAAACAGAGCGAGAAGGTCGGAAGAGTATGGCTGGGCTGAAAACAGTGCTCCTCAAACACAGATTTCTGCTTTCAGGGGAGACCTCCAGAGGCTGCTCAATTGATAGAGTTTACACAACAACAGCTACTGGCCTGGATTGAAACAGCTTTACACAGAAAACCTCTCAGCTATGAAATTGCTTCTTAGACAAACTCGCCTGCTTGAAGCTGGGGGTGATTGTGGCAGGAGTCTGGAGCTAACTAGAGCTCCCTGACCATTTTCAGTCTATTTTTACTGTTTGATGATCGCCTCCTTAGTAGTATTTCAGTGGGAAAAGGGGGAGTAAGAGAAGGTGTTGAGAGGGAGTGGTGGGTTGGGGAAGGGAGAATGTCTTTAGCATGAGATTGTGAGTAGGTGTATTGGGTGGAAGAAGGTGTGGACACCTTTGAGAAGGCACAAAATGTAAGCTAAGGATTCTTTAGACTCTTGAGCAGTGTCCTCTGTGCTGTTGGGCTAGGTTAGGATGAAGCTTTTCCAAATGAAAGGAAAATAAGCCAGTGGTATACATAAAAAGGAGCCCTGGTGCCACAGTGGTTAAGAGCTCGGCTGCTAACCAAAAGGTCGGCAGTTCAAATCCACCAGCCGCTCCCTGGAAACACTATGGGGCAGTTCTACTCTGTCCTATCTGTCCTATAGGGTCGCTATGAGTCAGAATGGAGTTGATGGCAATGGGTTTGTTTTTTTATGCATAAAAGGAGACATAAATATGGGTGCTTTGCATAGTAATGAGCCCTGTTTAGTTTTCCATTTTAAATTTGATCTATTACCTCTAAGAGTAAACTTTAGCTTCAGCAGACTGATTTCTTTTGGCATAGTCAGACACTTTATACTATACAATGGTTTAAAACCCCATTTTATTGTATGTACGCTGCTGTGTTATGGTAAGAAAAATGACATTTCTTGGTACTGTCCCTGACATTTATGGGAGATGACATTCCACTGCTGTAGCCTGTCTGCTCTCATATTGCCTCATGTGCTATAAATTTTTTAGACATCCATGAAAAATCAGTTTGTAGTTTCATTGCAATGAACAAAGAGAGCATGACCCAGGAGTGCTCTCTGTCTTGTTCAGATGTGAAAAGAACTTATCAGATGGTTTTATGTGGCTCACAAACCTGTAGCATTTTAGAAGGTAAAACTCCACAAAGTAGTTCCAAGGCCAAATATGTGTTTAAGTCATTGCAAGAAAAGAATTTCCCTACATAAGCGCTGTCAATGAAGAAATCACCTTGCTGTCAGCAAGACATAAACTTGTCTGTCCTGTAGTAGACATGTATGACAACACACATTGCAATATGGGTATACCCATGCAATGGTTCACTTGCAAGTGAGGCTAAATGACCCATGGAGGACTGACGTCATTGACTACAGCCTCATTTCAATGTTCTCTAACCAACTCCACTAACAAGCTGCTGAGTGTCACTCTCTACCTGGGCAGTCACTTCTACAGAATGAGGAGCTGTGTGTCTCTGTCTTTGTCATTCGCATCTCACCTAAGTCTGCTTATATAGCCTGAGACCACACCCCATTCCTGTTGTCACCCTGTACTCACACTCACCCCAGCACTGATCTGTCTGCAGAGATTTCTCATGCATTTCCTTAAAGGTGACCTTGGAGTATTTCTTCTGCCCTCCCTGCTGATGACCTCCAAGGGGAGACTGGAAGGCATTGTTTTAGTCCATGTAGCTTTAGTTCTGCACTGCTTTGTGGCTTGGAGACAGGAAATGGTTCTCAGCCTCCTCACCGAATGGTTTGGCCCTAAGATAGGCTTGACAAAATTCTCTGTGTTCTTTTTATACTACATGGATCTATAGAAAGTATGAAAAATAAAGCAGAGAGGAACAGAGGCTTGTGACCCAGGGATAATCACTAACAAGACTTTTGATGCAGATCATCAGGCCTTTCTTCCAAGGCACCTCTGAGTGGGTTCAAACTACCAACCTTTCAGTCACTAGTTAAGTACTGAACAATCTGTACCAGCCAGGTACTCCTTTAGTGGAGACAGACGCTTCCATGGAGCATAGGTGACCCACATGTCAACTGCTATGTCCATTCCCTGCTGCAGGCAGCCTCTTCTCATCTCATGCCCATCTTGAAACAGGACTCAGTATTTTTTTTTTCTATGTTGCCCCAAAAGAAACCACACTCTGCAAAGCATTGGGAAGCAAGCAGATTTCACTGAAGATTTTGAAGGGCAGGTAGAGAAGGATTTTAACTCACACACCCCACATAGTATGTTTCAAACCCTTCTCTGGCTTGTCTCCTCCCCTTGAGCCTCCCTCACTGTCCTGCCAACCTTCTCTTTCTTCCTCCTCGAAGTCCCAAGCCTCACTCTTCCAGCCCTTCCCCTTCTTGGCTCACCCTGGAACATCTCTCTCTCCCCCTTTCTTACGCAGGGAACTTCAGTTCTCTCCCAACTTCTCTTTCTGAGGTTACACATCCCCACTCACTTCCTAATATTGACTCTAAGTATGTCAATGGTCACTGAACAGGTAGTCCCCCAACATACAGGGGGTTCGGCTCCAGTGACTCAGTTAAATCAGTTCTGACGTAAGTCGAATACCTCATTTTTTTTTTTTTAGTTTTCATTATTATTGCCTTTTATTATCAGTATCTTCATAAATTTGATCTTCATTTGTCTTTAGGGGTTGGAAACATTACATCTGAGAATGATAGCATCAGCAAATTACACAATATCATATGTAGTACAGATTACTGACGATAAGATGTACAAACAAAAACCAGTTGGTCGTAAGTACAGTTCATCGTAACTCAAGTACATCATGAGTCGGTGACTACCTGTATTGAGCATAAAGATTTTATTTATTTATTTTTTAAAAAAGATCTTCTAGTTACTAGGCTTCTTCCTCCATAAAAGACAGTAGGGAATTAAAAATAACCAATTGTTTACTCCTATTTATACAGAGACACACAAACACCCACATACACATAACACACACGTATATATATCCTATGATGTGTTCTATATATCACACACACATGCATATATATATATATCTTATGATGTGTATGTATATGTGTGTAAAAAACTTAGGAGGGATGACTGGGAAAAAAAAACCATATCCAGTATGCTCCAGAGAATTCCAAAATTTGTTGATTATTCTTCATCCTTAGAGAGGAGCAAATATTTTCATCCCCTAAGCCTTCACTGGAGCCCTGGCAGCATAGTGGTTAAGAGCTCAGCTGCTAACCAAAAGGCCGGCAGTTCGAGTCCACTAGCTGCTCCCTGCAAACCCTATGGAGCAGTTCTACTCTGTCCTACAGGGTCACTATGAGTCAGAATCGACTCTACGGCAACGGGCTTTAAGCCTTCTCTAGGCCTTAGGCCTAAAAAGCAATACATTCAGGCTTTCCCTGTTTGTCAATGAACTTTACAAACAAGTGTCTGGTATCTAGCAGCCACTGGAGTATAGGCTGCTCCCTCATCCCCTAACTTTTTCTCTTCTAGTTATTTTGGAGCCATGTCCCGTGGAGAGATTCCCCCCGTGAGAGAGCGGTCTGAGCGAGTGGCTCTGTCTAACTGGGCAGAGCTAACACCTGAGCTGTTAAAGATCCTGCATTCTCGGGTAAGGGCCAGACTGTGGCATAAGGGGAGTGGGGGACAAGGTCAGAGCTGCGTGGGTACAGACCAAAGCCCACTGACCCCCTGCCAGTCAGCTGGTCATGTGCGCAGCACCATCCTAAAATTCACTAAACCATGGACTGAAAGTTAAGTCTCCCCTTGGAGAAATAGGAATAATACTGAAACGGCTGTGGACTATTCCGTGCTGAGCTGTCAATGGGGCCATCCTCAGACTTCCTGAAACTGGCAGAGTATCTAGAGGCTCAGTGCAATGCTAACCCCTTCCCTCCAGAAAAGCACAAGTCCACAGTCCCTCAACTGTGTCTCCTTTATGGATCAACACCATAATATGATGCCAATCACAATTTGGAAAGGGGCATATTATAACCCCCACCCCCCCATCTTATGTGTAGCTTTTAGGAAAAGGTATGGTTCTCCTCACAGCCAAATCATCCTGGGAGCTGCCTTGGATGTTTGGTTCGGTCAATTCCCAGGAAATTCTGGCTTATCCTGGCCCAATTTAGGATCCAAGACAGAGAGGTTTGGGGTGATTCAGGACTGACTTAGCCAACTATCTTGGTCCCAGAGGCTTAGCCATTTTACCAGAATCGGAAGGTCAGACAGGTCTTAGACCTTCACTGGGGCATCTGTGCCCTTATCACATTGTTGGCCAACAACTAGCTACTCATCCCCTCCCTCCTCTTAACCACCAAGTGCCTTGTGCAGTGGATATGACACCGATCCGAGGTACCTGGGGCCAAGCAACATTATGCATCCAGACCAAACCCTGAGGGTAGCCATATCCCCGTCTTATTCCTGGGAAAGCATGAGGGATGCATGTGAGGTATAGTGCAAAGAACTCAATGGAATCTGGAAGGAAAAGCCCTGGCATCTTGTTTCAACACTAATCAGTGGTCTCAGTCAAACAAGTCCTCTGCCTCTTGGTTTCACCGTCAGGCTGCCCTATCTACCTTATAGGAATAACCCAGGGATAAAATGGCAGATAATAAAAGCATCAGAAAAAAAAATTAAGATGCAATACTAAATGTCTGCATTTCCCATAATTCTGACATCCGGAGTGAAAAATTATTAAATCCTATCTCAGCATGTTCTTTTGCTAGGGTGAATATTTCTCTACCCTTGCAAAGAAACTACCAGAGTCTTACCTCTCTGACAACCCTACTTGCTCTGCCCTGGGAGAACGTGGGGACTTGCTGGGCAGGTTCTTCTCAGGGACAGAGCCTGCCTCATTCCCTGTTTTCTGTATGCTCCTGCCCTGCAGGTTGCTGGCAGACTAATCATCCATGCAGATGAGCTGGCCCAGATGTGGAAGGTGCTCAGCCTCCCAACAGATCTGTTTAATAGCGTGATGAATGTGGGTCGCTTCACAGAGGAGATCGAGTGGCTAAAGTTTTTAGCCCTTGCTTGCAGTTCTCTTGGAGTTGTAAGTTGCTTTAATGTTTTGTGTTCCTGTAGGGAAATTCTCTCTTTGGGCTTGGAAGGGCAGGAGTTGAGCGTTTGCACATCTAGACACACAGTCAACTCGCCAAGGCTGTGGACTGGAGATGAGCATGCCCCTGGATTCATTATCCAGGCTTCTCGTCTTTTCCTTCTCTCGGATTAGGTTCATTTCTGTGCTCATTAGCTAGAAGCAGGGGTTAGGAGGAAAGAGAGGGGGAAAACGGATACAGGCTCTAGGGAGAGGTTGACTAAAATGTGGCTTGTGGGCTCTTTGTGAATTTCAATCATTGCAACAGATTCATTTCTATCACCACTCCGCTCCCTCCGTTATATTCACAGAGATAACCAAGAGTGCACTGTAGAGTAAGAGCTGCTTATACTTGGCTTCCAGACATCTAGAAGATACACCAATAGAGACTTTTACAAAGAGGGGCAGCCTTATAGAAAACACAATTTGATAGACGTAATTGGACACGAAAATCAGAGATAAGAGAGCAAGGAAGGACAGATGAGACTATTTCTAGACTTACAGTCATGACATCACCGTGGATGCAGGATGCTCAAATTCATGCCTTTTCCAACTTGACTTCGTTCGCAATTGGAAAAGCCACTTTCCTGTTCTGAAGGAAAAGATGCTGAAACCAGTGTGTGTATGTATGTGTGCGTGCGTGTATTTTTTTTAACTAAAGCTTAAGTGTCTTCTTATATGTGGACTCAATCTTGTTGAACACTGTTTCAATAACTTACATGGTAATGAATCAGAAACATGGTTTTTTAAAAAAAAATCCTTGAAATACATGAGTTTAAAAATTAATGAGAAAATCATTGCCTCTGCCAAAGCCAAATGGTATGAAAAGGTAGCTTGAATCATTCAGCACATCTTGTTCTTTCTTCTCGAATATGCTTGAAATGCAGATTTGACTTTTTTTTTTCTGAGAAAATTTACCAGAAATATTGTAGTTCAACTTTTTCTATGGGTTTCCCTTGCAACTTTCCTCATAATCGTTTCTTTGGAGTGAAGAGGAGGGGCCGTTTGTTTTCCATTTCTTTTTTTTTTTTCTTTCCTTTCCATTGTCCTTTATAGCAATATTACATAATGAATCAATTACTATTCTTCAAAGAAGAGAGGGAAATGCAGCAAGGGTAGACAAGTGGACCATCAGCACTGATCTCACTTCTGTGGAAACAGCCCAAGGGTTGGCGACTTAGTTATCTAGTGCTGCTATAACAGAAACACCACCAATGGGTGGCTTTAATAAATAGAAATTTATTTTCTTGTAGTTTAGGCTAGAAGTCCGAATTTGGGGCGCTGGCTCTAGGGGAAGGCTTTCTCTCTGTGTCTGCTCTGGGGGAAGGTCCTTGTCTCTTTTCAGCTTCTTTTCCTCAGTTCCTTGGTGATCATGTGGTATGTATCTTCCCCTCCGTTTGTGCTTGCTTGCTCGCTCAATCTGCTCTTTTCATATCTCAAAAGAGATTGATTAAAGACACATTCAGTTGTTAAGAGCTATGGCTGTTAACCAAAAGGTCGGCAGTTCGAATCCACGGGCTGCTCCTTAAAACCCTATGGGACAGTTCTACTCAGTCCTATAGGGTTGCAATGAGTCAGAATCGACTTGACCACAAAGGGTTTTTTCTATACTAATACTGCCTCATTAACATAACAAAAAAACCCATTCCCAAATGGGATTATAACTACAGATATAGGAGTTAGAATTTACAACACATATTTGGGGAGACACAATTTAATCCGTAACAGTTGAGGAAAACTGCAAAAGGGAAAATAAAAACTTGGCACATTTTATCAAATTCTCATAGGTTCACACATTTATTCGCATCACATTGAGATGTTGGGGAGGGTGTACCTTCTTTATTTTATCTGCAATTAATTCTGAGCAGTGGTTAAGAGCTATGGCTATGGCTGCTAACCATAAGGTCAGCAGTTTGAATCCACCAACTGCTCCTTTGAAACCCTATGGAGCAGTTCTACTCTGTCTTGGAGGGTCTCTATGGACTCAATGGCAAGGGTTTTTTGTTTTTTGCTTTTTTTTAACCCCCAAAGGGCAGCCCTGGTGATGCAGTGAGTAAGAGCTCGGCTGCTACCAAAAAGTCAGCAGTTCAAATTTACCAGCGGCTCCTTGGAAACCCTATAGGACAGTTCTATCCTGTCCTGTAGGGTCACTATGAGTTGGAATAGACTCGAGGGCAATGGGTTTGGTTTTGGTTTTGGTTTACCCACAAAGGGTAGAGTAAGAAAATAACTAGATTCAATCCAATCCAGGAATTTCAGTCTGATGCAATAATCGAAACAGCCTTTAGGTAAATTGCACAATCTCTCAAATTTCTTCTGTACCACCTGTCCCCTTCTTTTCCAAGACAACAGTTGAGTTTATGGGGAAAGAGTGACTCTAGGACCTCAGTGCAGCCAAGTGAAGGGTTTCACATATCTGTTGGTCTTCTTTTGCACTTCTGGTTTCCATGATGATGCCTCTGTCTACCCGGTCACTAGCTGCTTGTAGCTTGAGTCTTTGGTCTAGTCTCTTTTGGGTTAGTCACAGCATGATGGGGTTCCCCCACAGGCATCTCATTTTTCACTGGTGCTGAGGTCTGTTCCCCAGCTTAAGTGGTCTACACCACAGGCCCTCACTGCCTTGTGAGATGTCTGAACCTTCCCCTTGTCCCTATACCTCAGAGTAACCAAGAGTGACTTTGGAAAGCCAAATTCCAACCTTCCCTCCGCTTAGCCCCCTGTGCAGCTGCTAGGTTCACTTTGATATGGCTGCCTCCCAAACTGGTGAGAAGAAACCATGAGGTGAACTGTGTCTTTCTACTTCCCCTCTAAAACGAGGAGGTTGCACTAGATGGTCCACGAGGCTCCTTCACCTCTAATGTTCTGTGATTCTATTCCCCCTTCTCTGCTTCCACTGAGACACCCTCACCCCTAGCTGTGGATAACAGCAAACTCCTTGGATTCTGAGAGGTCCTGACATGTTTGACTTTGCCCCTAATTACCCTATGTCAAAGAATACCTAGAGGTGAGGTCAGCCTTCGGGGCAAGTCCCTAAATAAAGGGAGCCCTGTAAATCCAGGAAGCAATTCCTTCATACCCATTGGATCATGTTGGATTGTGGCTGGGAACTTAAATGTGAGGTGATCAGGGTGTCATCATCTGGGGTGAAGGCTTTGCCTTCTAGTTAATCCATTTATCTAGAGAGGTAAGCCCAGGAATTCCCTCCTTCCTCAACAGGCAACCAAGATCTCTGTGCCATCTAGAAAAGCCATTTCCCTCCTTGTAGAGAAGAGCCTAATGCAGGAATTTTAGGTAGCAGGTAGATGTACTCAAGTCTTGAGCTCTCTGAGTCTAATACATGTGATTAAAAATGCTATGGCCTGAAGACCTTGTTCCTTTCAGGACTCCTCCCCCGCACAACTGGCCTATGCCACCTCCTTTTCCAACTGAGACTTTATATAAAACAAAGAGATCTTGCAAGTAGTAAATAATTGGGTTAACTGGAAGGGATAGCTTATATTTTCTTAGCAAATAATTTACTTTTCGAGCCTTTTACCTCTGAGTTTGAAAATGAAGCTCATAAGTTGCTATCTCTATGAAGTGGATCCTCATATAACTAGAGATGTTGTGCAGGAAAACACAGATGTTTACTTTAGATTTATTTAAGTTTACCAAAAAGCTCCAGTCTAAAGAGTTTATCCATTCATCCATTTATTGAATATTTTTATAAATCTTATAAGCGCAATAGAATTTGAATATTTGTTGTTTGACCAACAAAAGATGGCATTTGGGGTAGAAAGCACCCCAGTTTGGATGAGACTATAGGAAGAAGATAACCAAACAAAGGCACTAAGTGAGCAGTTAAGCGAAGTAGAGAGGATGAGCTGTGGATGAAAATTATGAAGGTGAGTGCACACATTCATGCCTGCGAGTCATCTACCCAAAGCCATTCTCATGCTGACCTCATCTCACGCGCACACCTTCCCATCCTCACTGACGGCCTCCTACCCAGCCTCATGCATGCCCGTCCTCCCACGCCCTTGGTGGAAGTGGCTGCACAATGCCTCACGCAGTGCTTTACAATGCTTTCCAGGAGAGGGCCCCAAGGAGGGGAAAACAAATGCAAGTGGCCTGCTGCAAACCCCGAGTGCCTTTGACATGTGGTTTATCATATAAAAATTCATGTGCACTGAAGATTCTATTTCATAAAATAACAATGTTTGATTTAATATAAAAATAATGTTCAAAATACTCACCATCAAGTGCAAATGTCACTACAAGAAGATTGGCCAAGTTTATTCAGTGCCCTTCTGCCTCCCGGCACACAGACTTACTCCCTCATGTAACCCACACCACAGTTAAAGAAGCACCACCTGGATATTCATTATATTCAGGAAGAGGATGCGAGCAGAATCAGCAAACATCAACTACAGAGGGAGAATGATGTTGGCCAGCCATCTGGCAAGATATAACAGCTGCTTGTTCACTCACCTAGCCTCACTCAGTTCACTACTCAGGACTGATTCTTCACCGATATCCCGAGGGTGTACAAGAATCATTTGCACATCATCTGTCTTAACAAATCTCCATGATGTATATGCTAACCTATCTTTGCTGATCGGAGCTAAACCATCCTTTCCTTGTATCATTTCCTTCCCTTATCCCATCATTACACAACTCTTTCACTTGTGAAATATATTTAAAGGGCGGGCTTGTTTAAAGACACTGGTACATTAAAACCTCAGTTCTGAACATGATCCTTAATGTTCACGTTTCATTGAAAGGAATGGTTTGCTTCTACTATATTAACCCTTCCATTACAACTTCTGGCAACCATCATCTACTAATTTTTCTGCCAGCAACAACAGGGTTAGTATTATGTACTATAAAGTACTAACCAAGACCAGTTGCCATCAAGTCAATCCCGACTCATGGTGACCTCATGTGTGTCAGAGTAGAACAGTGCTATATAGGGTTTTCAATGGCTGATTTTTTGGATACAGATCACCAGGTCTTTCCTCTGAGGTGCCTCTGGGTGGACTTGCATCGCCAACCTTTCAGTTAGCAGCCCAGTGCGTTAACCATTTGCACCACCCACGCACTCCCTATTATGTACTTCATGATTCCCGTTAGAGGGATCCACATGTTTTAGAGGGATGGGTTTTATCTTGATGTTCAGTACCATTTTTCCTGCATCGGGGACACCTGTCTTCCTAGGGACATTACCCTTCTTCTACCTCCCCCTCCCCACTGTGGACCTGCTCCAAGTCTCTCATAGGAGTGTACAGACTAATCACCTCCACGCTCTAGAGAGAAGGTTGGAGAGCAACAACAATAAGAAAAACTCCTATTTGTAGAATGTAAAAGCAAATTTGTCTCCTTCAGTGAGGTTATTCTGATTGAAGTAACAAATATCTCTACATATTCAGCAGTTTATAAACTTAATTCTCTGAGAATAACCCTCCAACAAAGAAAGGAAGGAGAAAAAGACACTCAGTGGGCACTCCATAAACCAATTGCCATCAACCCGATTCTGATTCATGGTGACCGTGTGTGTTAGAGCAGAACTGTGCTCCATCGGGTTTTCAATGTCTGATTTCTCAGAAGTAGATTATCAGTTTGTCATACTGTGGTGGCTTTCACGTTGCTATGATGCTGGAAGCTATGCCATTGATATTGTAAATACCAGCATGGTCACCCATGGTGGACAGGTTTTAGCAGAGCTTCCAGATTAAGAGAAACTAGGAAGGAAGGACTGACAATCTACTTCCAAAATTAGCCAATGAAAACCTTATGGATCACAACAGAACACTGTCCGACTCACTTGCTTTGGACATATTATCAGGAGGGACCAATTGCTAGAGGAGGACATCATGACTGGCGAAGCAGAGGGCCAATGAAGGCAAGGGAGACCCTCAGTGAGATGGGTTGCAACGATGGACTTGAACATACCAGTGATGCTGAGGATGACTAAGGACCAGGCAGCATTTCATTCTGTTGTACAAAAGGTCATCATGAGTCAGAGTTGACTTGACTGCAACTATCTATACCTATAGATGCTTACCATTTTTTTTTAGATTGAATTAAATGACATATTAGGTGTAAATATTTCAAGCTTTCCAGAATATTGCATCATTCTCACTTCATTTTATGAGAGTAATACTTTTTTTCTTTTGTATGTAAGCTGATCTCAAGAATCTAGCTGGAATAATGACTTTCTCCTTGTTTTATCTTGTGGTTTTATAGACCATTGCCAAAACTCTCAAGATAGTGTGTGAAGTTTTATCATCTGACCATGATGGGGGACCTCCCAGAATCCCTTTTAGCACCTTTCAGTTTCTCTACACGTATATTGCCGAAGTGGACGGGGAGATCTCGGCCTCGCATGTCAGCCGAATGCTAAAATACATTGAACAGGAAGTGTAAGTAAACCTTTACCAACTGGGGGTAAACGAATACAGGGAAAACAAATTTAACAGGGTCCTGAGCCATGATATAGTGAGGTTACTGTATTACGCTGCTCTGGGAACAGAGAAATGGTGTGAAGAACAAGAAGTAAGGATTGAAAAGAGATGAGGAATGTGAAGGGAAAGAACGGTGTAGGAGAGCAGTTCTTAGCATGAGCCCCAGATCTGCAGCAGCATCATCACTTGGGAACATGTTAGAAAAGCAGTGCTCGGGCTGCATCCTGGACCAACTGAGCCAGAAACTCTGGAATGGGGTCCAGGAATCTGTGTTTTAGCAAGCTCTCCAGGTGATTCTGATTCTCAAGTTCGAGAACCAGTAGCGTAAGCACAGAAGAGAAGATTTCAGGACAACTGAGAGTGATGAGGGAGGAGCAGCAGCAGAACATGGAGTGAGAAAGTTGTTTATACATTGCCTTTCTTAAGCTTAATCACGTTCAGTGAACTAACCCAAGATACATATTTTCCCCACACAGAATTGGTCCTGATGGTTTAATCAAGGTGAATGACTTTACCCAAAACCCTAGGGTTCGGCTGGAGTAAAAGCACGATTCTGGCAATTTTAAAGGAAGATACAGAGATGATTGTGCTTCAGAATGAGTGAACCCCATTCACCATCCAGTGTCAATTTTCTTGTACAACTGGTACATGCTAATAAACAATTAGGCAAACATACTAAATCAGAAATGTGTGGAATTAAGATGCTGAATTGTTGGAACAAAACACCTACATTAAGAGATTAGTAGTCTTACTATACTGGCTCTGGATAAAAGTGGCTGACGAAGCATGAAGAGAAAATGCATCTTGAGGCAAAGCCAGATGGTCAGATTTCAAAGTTAGAATGTTAACTGGACACAATGTTGATGTTTTGTGATTATAAAGCTTAAGTTAGATGAGGTCAGTCCAAGTTTTTACCAGTTTATTTCTCCATTTGTTGGTTTTATACTAGTCATTCATTCACTCATCAATATTTATTGAGGTTAGTTAGCTATACGCCAGGAGGAGTCCTGGGCGGTGCAAAAGGTTAATGCGCTTGGCTGCTAATGGAAAGGGTGGAGGTTCAAATCCACCCAGAAGTGCCTCAGAAGAAAGGTCTGGTGATCTACTTCCCAAAAATCAGCCATCGAAAACCCTATGGAGCACAGTTCTACTTTGATACATACGGGGTTGCCATGGGTCAGATTGGCAACCAGTTGTTTATGTGAAAACAATAGGGTTGCTAGATAAAATACAGGATCCCAGTTAAACTGAATTTCCGATAAACACTGAATAATTTTTTAGTATAAGTATTTATTTTGTTTTGTTTTGTTGCTAAACCTGGCGACCCTAGCCAGAAACTATGCTGGCTTCTGAGCATATACAAATAAATCAGGTCTGAATTCTGCTCTGAAGAAGTTCCCAGTCTAACATTAGGATAAGACGTGAACATAAATCACTTTAATGCAAGTGGTGCTGAGAGGTACTAATAAAGTGCTTTAGAGATCAATACTAAAGTATCAAAGTTAACAGATTTCCCTAACATCATATATGTACACATGTAATGGGACCTTCTTGGGAAAATCCCCTGCATGAGCTTAAGACCTCCTGACAAGGTCACCTAAAGATTGTTCTTTCTCTCAGGAAGCAGATGAGCTTGGCTGTGTTCCAAGGTCACTGGTTCCCTTCTGTCAATCTCCTCGTAAAGTTGTTTTTGTTTAAAAATCGTGTTGGCTTGCTTATATATGGATTGGGGGAAAATTTATCTATTGGTGTCCAAATAAATTTAAAAAAGTTGTGATGGGATGTCACCATGGGCCCTTAATTTCTGCTTAGAGTTAAACAATTAAAGGGGCTGGACCATATTCTTCCCCCACAGTCACGGAGCTGCACCTGTAGGGGTTGGACAACCATCAGTCCTCCCTGTTGCTGCCTTCTTGGCCATTGTTTATATCCACTCTGGCACCTAAGGAACCCTGGTGGTGCAGTGGTTAAGAGCTCGGCTGCTAACCTAGAGGTCGGTCATTCAAATCCACCAGCCGCTCCATGGAAATCCTATGGGGCAGTTCTACTCTGTCCTATAGGACCTCTGTGAGTTGGAATTGACTTGACGGCAATAGGCTTGGGCTTGGTTTGGTTCTGGGACCTAAAGCTCCTTGAAAATTGAAAACTCTCACCTTCAGGCGGAGAGCTGAAGCACTTCGGGTGAAACCTGGCACTGTAATTAATCGGAAGTAGAGAATGAGTGAGATCCTTTAACTTGCGTCAGTCCCCCAGTGTCTCTTGGTTTCTCTTTCACTATGATCAGGAATTGATATACAGTCTTGCCTGCGAGTAGTGGGGTGGAGGGATAGAGGGGGAGAAGCAGTTGGAAGACTCTAAGACAACAAATTAAATTTCATAAACTTAAAGCAAAGGGTCCTTTGTACATTTGGGAAAACAGATTGAAATCAATAGCTAACTCTCAGAGTAGCCCTGAGCATAATCCCTTCAGATTGAGGCTGATGAAACCCCAACTATCAAGTGTATACTGCACACAGATATGAAGTTATTGATGGCACTGACGCCATCAACTGAGACTAAGAACAACTGGCAATACCATCGTGGCACTGCCAACTGTTCGTCTTCTAAGTCACTATTTGGTGTCCATCATTTTTGTTCTCTGCTCTGGCTCACTGTTGCAATGCTTCCTAAGCTATGGACATTGTTGAGCCACAGGTGCTCACCAGAGACTCAGCTGCTACAGCACATCTACCAAATCAACCTGCTCTAGCGGTTACCCCAAGGGTGGAAAGCAGCGTTGTCTCAACCTGATCTATGCCATAGTAATATTATACTGTATTAATAATAATTTTAAAAAACTCGTTACCATCGAGTTGATTCCGACTCATAGCAACCCCATGTCTGTCAAAATAGAACTTTGCTCCATAGAGTTTTCAATGGCTGTGATCTTTTGGAAGTAGATTGCCAGTCCTTTCTTCTGAGGGGCCTCTGGGTAGATTCGATCTGCCAACCTTTCTGTTAGTAGCCAAGTGCGTGTACATTCATATATATAATAAAACACATAGGGAACACAGTTATGGATATTTCTTAGACATAACATTCACAAGACTGGTTTTCTGAGTATGAAGCTTTAGGACAATAGTCTTGTGGGACAACTCAATTAATTGACATAGTTCACAAAGTTTATGTTCACATCCTAGTTTCGTTGAGTAGTGTCTGGGGTCTTAACAGCTTGCAAGCGGCCATCTAAAATAAAACTATAGGTCTCTTCTCATCTGAAGCAAAAGAGAAAGAAGGAAACCAAAGATTCAGAGAAGAAACTAGTCTACAGGACTAATATATTATAGTCTACATGAACCATGGCCTCTTTTACCCTGAGACCAGAAGAACTAGATGGTGCCCAGCTACAACTACCAACTGTTCTGATGAGAGCCACAATAGATGAAACCTAATAGAAGTGGAAAATTGTAGAACAGAACTCAAATTCTTCTTTTATTTTTTTATTGCTGTAGTTTAAATGAAGTTTACATTTGAAGTTAGTCTCCCATACAAAAATTTATACATACGTTGAGCTTGTCTGAGCTTCTCTAGCACCTGTGCTCCTCAGCTCGTTGGCGATCATCACATGGCATCTATCCTTCCCCATTTGTGCTTGCTTGTCTCTTGTCTAATCTGCTCCTTTTTTATCTCAAAAGTGATTAGGTTTAAGGCACCCCCTACACTGATACAGCCTCACTAACATAACAAAGAAAACCCTCTTCCAAACGGAATTACTTTAGGAGATAATATTGGAGCCATTACTCCCTGTCCTAAAATGGAACCCAGCTGGAGATGGACTTATAAGGACTCACACGGACACATCAACTGGGCCCTGAGGTATAAAGACAATAGCTAGGATAATCTTGGAAAATATCTTTTAGGGAAACTTTCACATAAGTTAATCATAAACACAGCACAAAAGACCCACATACTTTCCACTCTTATCTTTTTCTATTAGCATTTAGTGAATAGTAAGATTTGTTGGACCAGTGAAGACCTTCGTGACTCGTTACTGAAACCTGTATCAATGATTGTTAAGAAAGACAATTCAAAATGTAGGATCACAGTTTCTAGCCAATCTGTGAAAAGAAGAAGGTTTCAATAGTTTTGCCCATTTGTAATGTGAATATATATTGATGATTCTGTACACTCCTTGGACTTGGGCAGACATGGCTCTAGCAGCATGCTTGTTTATTTCCCACTTTGGCCTCTTTGAACATAAGCCAAATAAAACTTTCTTTTTGCTTTACTAGGAAAAAAAAAAAAAAAGTGGGATTACATCCACAGCTATAGGGGTTAGGATTCCAACACATATTTTGGGGGACACAATTGCATCCGTAACAGGAAGGAAGTCATAGGTGTTCACAATAAAGGGCATACAGAGGGGACACCAACAGCATCTGTTATAATGCCTAACAGAGATTTTAGTGAAACAAAATTTTAATGTTTTAATCACTGTTGTTTCTCTGTTTGGGTCAGGCACAAGTCCATGGGGGCTTCAAGACAACAAGTGACTGATATTTTGCTGCATTAAATTCACACCTCACCCCCAAATCTGGCCCATTGTTCCAAATCAACTCTTGCCTCCTTACCATGAGATCATTCTGAAGGGGCCCCAAGTAGATCCTTGTCAGACCTGTTACTGGCCTTCCTGTCATAATCAGTAATATCTGAATCCTAGCATGACCCCAGTTAGGCTATCAAATAGACAGCTCTGTAACATATAAACCATATGTTTCTTCTTTAAAAAGAAAAACATCCAGGAAGCAATAAAACCAGCATTTTATAAAGAAAAAGAAGTGGGCTCTTGCTTTACTAAATTAAGCTATTTTGATTAAAGTGAAGACTGCAGATACATTTAAAGCTTCAGGGAAATGCAAAGATGATGGCTCAATTCCATTTTCTCTGTGCTCCACGTCCCCTCTCTCCTTGATGCTGTTCAATCAGGTACCTCACTATCTCTAGTTAACCAACTCCTAAGATCACCAGGGCCCTGCAGGAGAAGAAGCTGGTCACTCCAGCATGGAAAGCTGGTCTTTGAATTAGGTTTGACTAGGATTCTTAACCAGGAATCCTTGGAGAGGTTCCTGAACTCCTCTGATAAAACTATACATAGAAATGCCTCAGAAATGTACACATTAGCATTTTCCTGAGGGGAAAAAAGTACAAAGCTTTTAGCAAGTTCTCAAAGTTATATGTTCTCAAAAGCTTAAGAACACTTGGGTTGGAAATAGCTCTGGAAGGCAACAAATGGCTTGAGGGAAGGCAACAAGGAAGTCTCAGATCTTTCCAAGCAGAACTAAGCTCATGCTTCCAACATTTGATTTATTATCCAGTCCGCAGCCTCTTACTTTTGAGTCTTGTATCTTGGCTATAAATCTTACTGTGTTTTCAGTTTAGATCTTCATAATGCTTTGCAGCTTTTGTTGTTTCTTATAAACTGGAACACGGTTAAGCATGAACAGAGACTTTCACACTTCAGAGGTGAGCCAGTGTGCTAAATTATAAAACACTGGCTACAAGAAACAAAAGAAAAAATAGATAAATTGGACTGCATCAAAATGAAAACATTTCGTGTATCAAAGGACTTTATCAAGAAAGTGAAAAGACAGCCTAGAGAATGGCAGAAAATATTTGGGAACTATATAGATGATAAGGGTTTAATAGCC